TCACTCACTACCTTTTCATTTATGCTCCTCAGAATGCAAACCCACTGCTGGATTAAGGACCACCTGGACACAGAGGAGAAAATACTAAATACCCTTTGCAGACCAAAAACAAACAAACAAAAAACCACAAGGAGAAGGCTATACATGGGGCAATGGAAGGACAGAGAACCAAAACAAACACACACAACTTCATCTTCTAGAACGCAGTAAGCACTCACGTTTCTGAAAAACATGAGTCAGCAAGAACCTGTGGTTACACAAAAAAACTACCTAAATCTATTTCTGAACATCTACATTTATTTATCATACCTGTTGGAGTTCATCCTGACATGAATTTCATCAGTTAAGCTTTTCTATCTGGTTTCTTTCAGGGGATCCTAACAGACCCTAAGTGGAACCTCCCACTAAAGTCTTCCATGCTAAAACAGTTCTCTGGGAAGACCACCTCTGTTCAGTCTCACTCTCTTTTTAAAAAACAGAAGCAGCAATGCTGTCTGACTTGGAGGTCATGAAGCATCATTCTAGCATTCCACTCAATGACTAACCCAAAGGAAATAGCTCTGAAAGCCCAACTGGCTACTCCACAAGACCAGCCCCAGCTGAGGCACTGCTTCTCAGTCACAAGCAAGATGGCTCGGTTGACCTGTGTGGGCAGAAAGAGAGTGCATGACTGCAGCCTGACTTGGCCCTCATAGTCTCCTCAGTCAGCTGCTTTGGATTCCCCCCAATCCCACCTGTCTGCCTGCACTCCCAGCCCCCGGCTTTATCCCAATGAGTGCAGAGAGGGGGAAATGGCAGTGTTAGTGTGGAGAAGTTATTGTAGATGTGTAGACATCACAGACAGGTTGTTGTAAATGCTCACCACGTTTGATCAACACGGTCAGTGTCCCTGCAAGGAGGGGAGAGAGAGCTCAGAGAAGCCAACCAAAGTCATTCGGGCTTGGGGCGCAGGGTGGGGAGATATACAGTCCTAGAAGCATCATTTCTAGACAAAGAAGTGGTTCCATTTTCTACCTGGGTTCACTTATGTGAGTGAACTATGTCAGGATTCAGATAAACATCCTATCCCAAGAACACTGAACATCCTCCAGTCAGCTACCACCCCAGTTGGGGCAAAACATCCCTAGCAACTAACTACCCCAACCAAGAAGAAAGAAAGAAAGTCAGGAGCCTTAAGGATTGAACACTGTGTCCTCAGCTGTCCCCACTAGTCCCCGCAGCTAGGTCTCATCACTACTGGCACAAGAAAAACAAGTTTGGGGTCAGGGAGCAAGGTAAGGAGTAGGCAAATGAAGTTCCCTGCCCACAGCAGGAAAACTGTTTTTGCCAATAGCAGCCATGTTGAATAGGAAGAAATTGTATTCTAGGAGTAAGAAATGGTAGTTTGGGTGGTGGCTGTTGCTCTGCTAATCCAGGAAGCAAAGCAAAAGGGGACATCATTTGCACATTTGAAAATTTTATCATGATCACTCTGAACTGGAAATAAGACCCCAAATGCAAACACCAATCTCAGAGGCACAAAAGACGAGCTGGCGTCCTGTAGACCCCAGGGTCTGCCTCAGATGAACACTGCCAGCCAGATCCCTGCACCTCTCCAAGCTGCAGGCACTGAGGGCCAAAATGTAGCCTCCACACCCTGGCCCACCCACCACACCCCCCAACGGCACCTGCAGTGGTGCTTCCTGCTGGCGAGCCAGAAGGCGCTGTCGCACGCGTAGCAGTGGGCGGCCAGGTGGTCAGGGAGCCAACGGGTCATCTGTAAAACAGATGGGGCCAGGTTAGTGACGGGAGATGAGCCATCCAGCTGGAGCCGGCAAGAGCCATGCTGGGGGCAGCAAGAGTCACAAGAACCATACTGGCTCTGGTGGCACCAGCCCAGCAGGTCTGATGTCAGCAGTACAAGAAAGGCGTCCAAATCGTTTCCCTAGAGGGGACTCCAAACTCCCCTGAGATAAAGTATCAGGCAGCAGCAAACACCCTGGGTCACTATGAGAGCTGGCAAGGCTCCAGTCCACAGAGGCAATGAGAGAGGACCACTTTGCTGAGTCTCCCTGGCTCAGAAATTCTAGGCTTGATGGGGATTCACAGAGGCTCAAGGCTAAGCGTGCTATGAGGTCGTTCCTTGGCCAGGGGCATGGGACAGGGATAGGGGTGGAGAAAAACCATAAAACAGTTGCATGGACGGCACTCAGAACAGGGGCTGAGCCTGTACCTCCGTGTCCTGTTTATCCACCTGCTCCCAGCTGGCTTCAGAGAAAATCTCTGTGCTGCAGCGAGACAAACAGTTCTGATCCAGATTGCTTTCCGAGTCGGGGATTGAAGTCTGTTGGCAAACAAACACAGCTGAACAGAATGAACCTGGCTCCTCCCAGAAGAAGAAAGGGCTTGGAAAAGAAGGGAGCACCGGGGACTTTGGGTGGGCCTGAGTGTTAGGGCTGCCAGATCTCTGGTGCATCAGCCACCAAGAAATGGGTTGAGCAGGTGCAGAGACAGGCCTGAACTCAGGTGGAAGAGAGAGACACAGATCTAAGGCTGTGTGCAGTGACTCTGCAGTGCACAGATGGGCCCTGGGTTCCAGGAAGTGAGTGGGGCAGAAGTGACCAGGATGGAGTGTGAACTCTGTGAGCTGCTCCAGTGAGTCTGTTAATCCAACCCTGCCACTTACATCTACGTGTTGAAACTGAGTGCTTTGGGCATGTCCTCCTTTCCCTGAAGGACTCTTTGGGAAAATGAGAAATCATCATTAGTATGAAGGAAAAATGGAGAAGTCTGTTTGAATTGAAAGTCATTGGATGAGCCCGCCTTTAATGTACGCTGACTGCTTCAGAGCCAGGCTCACGCATGTACGTGAACACAAGTCAGACCCAGCAAGTAAGGAGAGCACCTCCCTGAGAACCTCCCCTCACAGAGCCCCACTTCCAGTCACCAGGCCTCATCAGTGCTAACTCCTGGACAGTGCCAACACCAATACTTCTCCCCATTTCTACTTGCCATCATCACCTGCCAGAAGGCAGGTAGAAATATTTGTTCAACGAAACCTTCACAGCTACAGCCCATGTCTGGGGTGGGGGCGTGGTTTGGGGGGGAGGCTCACAGTTTACTAGCTACTGGGGTGTTTACAACAGGCACTACAATTTGACAGGAATATCTGCCATTGCCATACTAATGTCATCCTACCCAAGAGTTCGTGTCCTTTCTTACAACATGATCCTCTCTCCAAAGAGATCTGACCAACCACATAGTGCTCTCTTATTCTGTCTAAACAGGACACCCGTGGAAAGTTAAGAAAGGCGGGAAAGAACAGGCAGACTGCCGTTCACATGGCTGAGGCTGATCTCTAGCCTCTCAACAGGACTACTCTGCACCTTTCCAATTCTTTAGGAAATCTGTACTAATCACCAGGCACCAGGCACAAGGAGCACCCAGCCTCCGTGTGCCCTCTCCTTGGGCAGCTATGGAGGTACCATGGTCTACTCACCACTTCATCCCCAAAGTCCCCATTGAAGCGCAGGGAGCTGGTCAGGTACTGGCTCTCCAGGCGACTCCTCAGCTCCTGCACCTGTTTCTTCAAGGTCTCCACTTCCTGCTGGTGGCCTGACTCAATCTGACGCAGGCGCTGTTGGATAGTGTCCGTATACACAGGCATGCCATCGTCGTCCAGGTGGCTGCGGGAAGGCTGGTCAGGGCTCCCCGTTGTAGACGGCCTCCCTGAGTGGCCGTGCAGCCACTTGTGGTGCAAGTTCCTCGAGTGTAAGTGGGCAGAGCTGCAGCTTGTGGCAGACAACTGGCGGCTCAGTGAGTCCTTGCTCCTACCAGCCTCCCCATTGGTGCAGTGCCCATTGGGGGTGGGGTGCTTCTGCAGGGTGCTAAACCCTGGGGGCTGCTCTAAAGCCTTATTTTCGGTCTCCAGGGCACCATTGCACACAAGCCCCTCTTTACATTCGGCTAAAGGCAAGGCACAAGGAGAACGCGTGGGGCTGTGGGTGCTGCCAGGGGAAGTCCTATGTACCACAGATACCACTTGGGGCCTCTCAGCTAGGCTCCTCTCTGAAGACTGCGGCTCCGTGGCTTGAGGAAGTATGTCCTTGCTACTGAACCAGCCACTGTTTACCAGGCAAGGTCTATGATGGCCTTCGGGCCCACTTTCTGACTTGACTTGACCTTCCATTAACATGTCCATTGAACTGTCCGTGTTTGGTCCTGTGGCCTCAAATGGGACTTGGGAGGGCAGCAGAGAACTTGACTGTGAGGTACCATAGCCAACTTTTACATCTACTGGGATTGGAAGAAATGCTTCCTCCCTATCTTCTGTGATAGCTCCTATTCGAGGCTGTTCCACAGGGACCTCGTGGGTATGTTCTCCCCTGGGAGACTCCTGGAGAGAACAGGGGAGAATGCTGAGCCCACCCTGCTGCTCAGGAATACCCTGTGAGAACAGAGAAAGGCTAGTGCCTGGATGGTTTGTCAGAGCAGCATCACCCAGTTCTGGTTCTTGAGGAAGAATAATGGTTGAGCCCTCTAGGGTCTTCCCCCTGATTTCCTTTCCTAAGAGAGCCTCCTCTTCGACCTCCTGCATCTCAATGCTCCCTCTATGGGCAGGCTCCTCTATCCCACTCTCCTCTTTGGTGGCCTCTTGCAAAATGTTCTCCATCTGCCCCTCGGCCACTCCAGCTGCAACAGATAGCTCTGCGCCGCCCAGCACTTTGGTTGGCTTCCCCAGGTTGTCAGGATCGAGAGGCTCCTCCCCAGGACCAGCCAGGCTGCTCAATTCCAGTGAGCGGCGATGCTCCTGCCACTTCTCATTCAGGCTCGGGTCACTGCTGCGCCGGTTGGCTAGAGGCACTGTGTTGTCACAGGCTGTGGTCAGATTGTCAAATGATCTAGTCTTTGGTAACCTAAACAAAAGGAGGTTGAGGGAAATGAGAATATGAGGCTGTTCAGAGGAAGCAGGAGACAATCGGTTTTAACAGGCAGTTGTTTCATAACTGGGTTCGTTGCAGCTACTTAAGAAGCTACAGCATCTCTAAAGTGAGGCTCAGACTGCTAGAAAGGCAAAGTTCCTTGGATGGGCCCTTCTTCTAGTTTTCAAATTTCCTCTCAGCCTCCCACCCCATGCTCCTACATACAAACTAACAGCAAATGCAACTTAAAAACAAAAAACAAAAAACTTGGGGCACCTGGGTGGCTTAGATGGTCAGGCATCTGACTTCAGCTCAGGTCGTGATCTCACGGTTCATGGGTTTGAGCCCCGTGTCGGGCTCTGTGCTGACAGCTCAGAGCTTGGAGCCTGCTTCAGATTCTGTGTCTCCCTCTCTCTCTGCCCCTCCCCCACTCACACTCTGTCTCTCTCAAAAATAAAACATTAAAAAAATTTTTTTAATAAAAAGTTCACAATATTGCCCTGTTTCTCAACAGAGCAAGCAAAGGAAAGTAAGCATTGTTGATTTTCTGCTATTACAATATTTTAAATTATTTTATTACTTGACAGTCTGAATCCAATAAAGTGAATTCTCATGTGGCAAAGCCAAACTTGCCATCATCTGACATTTGCCTTTCAAGCCCAAGAAGATAAAATCATGGCAGAAAGGCAGGAGCATAGAGCAGTGGCTGCAACTCAAGCCAGAAGGTCACAAGGAACCCAAAGGATCTGCTCCATCACTGAGAAACTGCTTGGTGCATGCAACAGTACAATGTAGTGATGGGGCCCAACACCCTTCAAGGAAATGAGGCTCTTATGGCCTTGTAGCCTGAAACCCTATATCTTCCCTGAGAAAACCTCAGAAATCTAAGAGAGATGTGTGGAGTCAGACAATGTCATGATCTCTGACCATGCCTTGGATGTGTCCCAACACAGAAATAACACCCACGCAGGACTTGAGGTCTTGGCATCAACCCTGGGCTCACCGGCTCAGAGGCGGATCATCAGGGCTGGCGCCAGGGGCTGGATATGGTGCACAGCTGTCGTCCACAGGCGTGGACGGGGATGGGCAGGGCAGGTACACTGCACTCCACAGCATCAGGTTACGCACGTGACATACAGGGTATAGCACCTGAGGAGAGAGCAGTGGGGATACAGGTTTAAACAACTCCTAACAAGTCTTTAGAAACGAGGGTCAAAAAGAGTCACCAAGCCAGAATACCCAACAGGTCTTGCCTTGTACCATCTGCGTTTCTCGCCTCTTGTGGGCATGAAAATCTAAAAGGATTTTTAGAAATCTATTTCTCATAAATGATTTCTTAGGATTCCCTTTACTGAATGAATGACTCTTATATCGGCTCAATTCGTCCCCTCATCCAGTAAGTTATTCCACTGGATGATGACTGTGTTTCCTGGCACAAAAATGTGGCTTCAGAAGACACTGTCAAACCTGTTTTATAGGATCACTTAAACTAATCACGTGAAAAGAAGGGAATTTTCTTCCTGTATTGTTACTTTCCCAGTAGACACAGTTGAAGGAAACAGAGAAGCAGTTAGCTTAAATCTTTTGATTGTTTAAATGTAGTGAGAAGCATATTAACAATCCAGCAAAGCAATATGACCTCTGATTAGCCTCCTTTTGACTTCTTTAGAATTTAAGATGCATTCTGACAAAAGGAACATTACCATGTATCAACACAGATGTGCAAGCCTCCTTTCCTCTGCTTAACAGAAGGTGTTCCTTTAAGGAACAAAGTCTTAAAGAGCCTGCCAGTTTTCCATGTGAGCAGGAAATCACACACACACATGCTAATGTCATACACGTTTTTCTGCTGAGACAGGAGCTGCAGTGGATATCCAGTGGATGACACTGGAAGGATGCTGGGGGCCTCTTGGCAGCTCCTTCTGAGCTATGAGGGGTGGCCAGGGGACAACTTAAGCGCCTCTTCCACTTGTTAGACAGAACATGCTAGGAGTAAGGTAAGCTCTGACAGAGGTGCCAGAAAAGATCTGTGTCTAGAGTGACAAAGTAGAGATGTGTATTAAATCAAACCAGAAGCAGGTCAGAGCTGCACCAGGAAACAAGCCTTTATAGGGACAGATGGAAAAAAGTGGAACCAACCAACCCAAAGACAACAGTGATGCCTTTGAGAAAACAGTCACTACTGAAAAAGGCTCCCACATGTCACCATCCCCAAATTCCTTCTTCTGATCAGAGAGGAAGGGCTGAAGGATACATACGGCTTCGGACTGAGAGGAATACAGTAGGTTTTTGAAAGCCTTGTTGCCTGCCCGAAGCAGCGACCACACGGAACATGTCCGCTCCTGAGTATGCTTTTCCCCTCTCTCCTTGGCGTTGTTGCACAGGAATGTTCCAAATAGGCAGGAATAGGTATGTTGCACCAGTTTCACCTGTAGGAGTCCAGAATCAAGCAATAGGGTGAGCAGTCTTTGGAGGAAGGTTAGCCCCGCTGAGCCACCCTTCCCCAACACCCCTGAGAACAGCTCAGAATTCATACTCGTTAAGGGTGGGGAAATCACATTAAGCCACACAAGAGCTGCCTTTTCACAGCACCAATCCCAGAGCGCCAACCCCAACCACCACCATTCCTGAGTCAAAAGAAACAAAGACAGATCGTCGGCACACCCATTCCTTTTGGACTTCCTGTCAACCTGGAAGTTCTAAGTTAACAGCCACACTCAAGAGCAACAGAGCATATAAACTGGGTACAGGAGCAAGTCAGTGTGCAATCCAAGGCTGAACTGAAAACTGAAAAACTCCAAACAACTTTTCACTCAACAGGTCATTAATGACTTTTCTGTGGGTCCTGGACAGCAACTATCCTGCCCTCATGGAGCTGGTTCTAGTTGTGGGGAAGGGGTGACCAATGCTGTGGACCACAGTAAGGCAGGGTAAGCAGGACAGGACACATGCAGGGCAGTAGGGGAAGGAAGTGAAAGAGCAAGTGGGTATCTGAGGGGGAAATGCTCCCAGCAGAGGCAATAGCCAGCACGTCTTGAGGTGCGTGTGTGCTTGCAATTTCCAAGGAACAGGAGGCCAGTGTGACGGAAGGATACTGCACAAGGAAGGGAATGGTAGGAAATTAATGCAGACAAGAAACCGCTAGTATTGCTCTGCAGGCCAGTTTAAGAACTGTGACTAAATAACTAAATAACTGTGCCCTAAATAAATGGAAGGACTGAGTTGCCTGCCATTTGGTTAGGTGGAAGACCTCTTGGAAGATCAGATTTGGGGGTGGAAAGATATGGAAATCAAGAATCAAGCTTTGAACAGGAAAAGTCTGAAATACCATTAGGACATCCACATGGAGATACTGAGCAGTCACAGTTGGGTATGTGAGTCTGGAGTTAGTGGAGAGATCTAAGCTGAAGACATTATTATAAACGTGGGAATCATGGAGAGTAATTACAGGTATCGGACTGGATGAAATCCCCCAAGAGGCAATAAGATACAGAAGTACCTTGGAGGCTAAGCCCTGGAGCATTCCAACATTCAGCAATGGGGAGATAAGGAAGAACAGGAGACAGACCAGCTAGTGAGGCAGGGAAGAAATGAGGGACAGTATGTGCTGGGAATCAACTGAAGAAAGGGTTTCAAGACTGGTGTGATTACACAGTGCCAAACAGTAAAACGAAGACAGTCTAAGATACAAACTGCCAGTTATAAAACAAGTCATGGAGATGTAATGCACAGCATGGTGACCACAGGTAGTAATACTCTATTGTATATTTGAAAGTTGCTAAGGGAGATCTTGAAAGTTCTCATCATAAGAAAAAAATGTGTGTGGTGACTGATGTTAACTACTTATTGTGATCATTTTACAATATATAAATACTGAATTATGTTGTATACCTGAAATCAATACTATGTTATATTGTCCATTATACCTCAATTAAAAAAAATGTTCTTCACAAGATGAAACTGAGAGCTGATTAATGGATTAATATGAAGGTCACAGCTCTGGTAAACTGGTGGGGTGAACACCCGACTAGAGCAGGTTTAAGAGGAAATAGGAAAAAAAGAATTTGAGACAGTAAATGCCGAAGACTTGAGGAGCTCTACCATGAAGAAATGAAATACAGAAAATGAGACAAATAGCTGGCAAGAGATGCAAGGCTGAGAACGGGTTTTGAGGAGATGGGAGGCACTAGGCTATGTTTATGTATTAATGGCAACAATGTAGTAGAGAGGGAAAGGCTGGCGCCATGCAGCCGAGCAGAAGACAGGCAGTGGGAGCTGGGAGGGAAGAGCTGGAACAGGGCAAGGGCAGGGAGTTCTCTGTCAAAGGAGGGGGGCAGGAAGTATGGAACACATGCAGGGGGGTTGGCAGATGGACTGGAGGGAGCAGAGGATATGCCATTCTTTTTCTTTTCTTTAAGATTTTAGCTTTAAGTAATCTCTACACTCAAGGCGGGACTCGAACTTACAACCCCAAGATCAAGAGTCATGCTCCAACGAGCCAGCCTAGCACCCCTATTATTTCTAACTACTTAGGACTTCTATCATCTATTTCTTTCCCTTCACCTGCCCTATCATCTATTTTTAAAAAAAATTTTTTTAATCTTTATTTTTGAGAGAGAGACACAGTGTGAGTAGGGGAGCAGCAGAGAGAGAGGGAGATGCAGAATCTGAAGCAGGCTCCAGGCTCTGAGCTGTCAGCACAGAGCCTGAACCCACGAACCATGAGATCATGACCTGAGCCAAAGTCAGACGCTCAGCCGTCTGAGCCACCCAGGCGCCCCAAACTCCATCATCTATTTTAAAAAAAAATTTTTTTTTCAACGTTTATTTATTTTTGGGACAGAGAGAGACAGAGCATGAACGGGGGAGGGGCAAAGAGAGAGGGAGACACAGAATCGGAAACAGGCTCCAGGCTCCAAGCCATCAGCCCAGAGCCTGACGCGGGGCTCGAACTCACGGACCGTGAGATCGTGACCTGGCTGAAGTCGGACGCTTAACCGACTGCGCCACCCAGGCGCCCCTCCATCATCTATTTTAAAAGCTAAGTTTAGGGGTGAGTGGGTGGTTCAGTCAGCTGAGTGTCCAACTTCAGCTCAGGTCATGGTCTTGCAGTTCGTGGGTTGGTGCCCCACATCAGGCTCTGCGCTGATGGTGTGAGGCCTGCTTGGGATTCTTTCTCTCTCTCCCCTTCTCTGCCTCTGCCCCACTTGCATGCTTTCTCTCAAAATAAATAATAAACTTTAAAAAATAAAAAAAATAAAACCTAAGTTTAAAACGATACAGAGACTTGGGGCACCTGGGTGGCTCAGTCAATTATGTGCCTGACTTTGGCTCATGTCATGATCTAAGGTTTGTGAGTTCGAGTCTTGCATCAGGTCAGGCTCTGGGCTGAGAGCTCAGAGCCTGGAGCCTGCTTTGGATTCTATGTCTTTTTCTCTGTCCCTCCCCTGCCTGTGCCATGTCTATGTGTGTGTGTGTGTGTCTCTCTCTCTCAAAAATGAATAAACATTTTTTAAAATTTTTAAAAAAAACAACACAGACTTTATGCAAACCTAACACACTTGGATTCACTGAATAAACCCATACATTATTTTTAATTAAAAATAAGAGAATGGCTCCTTATTAAATTCTAAAAAGGATGTATCATTTCATGTAAAAACTAGCTAACATTTGCATTGACATCCCCATTTTAGAAAGTCCCCAAAATGAAGAATCACAAGCCCAAACTCACAAGGAATGCTTCATTGAACTCAAAAGAGCAAGGAAATTGCCTCTGAAGCTGATGAACGCAGTCAAGCCACTGGAGAAACACCGGGCAGCGTTCGTTCAGATCATCTGAGTTCTCCCCATGACCACACCGGTCAGCAAACTTGTGTCCAAAATCCAGCCACTCCATCTCCACAAGGACCTGGAAACCCTGCAGGGAGAGACCATTTGTGCTTGTCTGTCAAGCCTGTGACAGTCCCGAGCCTGTCAGGATTAAGAGCAGCAATCCCTTTTAACAAGCTCCCAGTAAGGCCAACAGAAACACCTAACCCAGCCCCACGGCCATAAGCTCCATGGGACACAAGCTTAGGGCAATTCTCCACTTCCCTCTACTCCATTCCATAATCATCAAAAGGGTACTAAGCATTTATCTGAGCCTTTCTTGAGTCTATACTTTTTAGCCTTTTTCATTCACTATACAAAAGCCACACTTTTTCTAATTTTTTAGTTCTGTATTTTGTGTTATACTTACAAAGAAAGTATTGTTTCTAAAATCTTTCCCCATTCCAGATTTACATCTATTTTAGGACACCTTTATGGTTTTTCTTACATCTCTAACCCAACATGTGGTTCTTTCAGAGTAGGGCTTTCTTCACAGAACACTGTAGTGATATCTGGACCCATTATTACCATAATAAGCATGCCAAGATTCTTTTACAGAAGCCCCATTTTCCGGGGGTAGCCAAAACTTTTCCAAGTAGACAGAGTGCAAAGGAAAACACATCTGTATTCTCAATACCTTGTTATCCACAATCTGCTCCATTTTATAAAATGGCACAAGAATGATGGCAGGCACCACCACAAGTTAGCTCAAGGTAAAGGATGAAAGATTTAAAAACAAATTTCATTTTCTTTAGACTTAACCACCAAGACCAAAACTGATCATAAAACCCTCCAAGGTTTCCCCCACTTGTACTGAAGTACCAAATCCTACTCTTTGGATGCACCCACCTCTATGGTTCGGTAATAAGGATCCAGCAAGAGCTTAGCCAATGCCACAATCTGGGGAGTGCGGTCCCAGCCATCTGAGCAATGTGCTAGTACTGGCCGCTGATCACGATCCACAGCGTGCACTACCAGAAGTGCTGACTTCAGAAGCACAGACAGGTGATGGAGCCATTTTGTGCCTTCAAGAGCTGAGAGCCAACTATAAAAATAAAAACAGAAGGGGATAAGGAAGGGTGCCTGGGTGGCTCAGTCAGTTGAGCATCTGACTCCTGATTTCAGCTCAGGTCACAATCCCAGCATCATGGAATCAAGCCCCACATCAGGGCTCCATGCTGAATGTGCCACCTGCTTAAGATTCTCTTGCTCTCCCTCTGCCCCTCCCCCCATGCATGCTTGCTCTCTTTCAAAAAAAAAAAAAAAGGAGGACGAGGAAATCCTGATTTGTATGATTTACTGCATCATGCCAAATAGCCATGAAATTAAGAAGCAATTCCCAAGGATTTTTCCCTCCAAATAAAACACTGCCAAAATAAAACAACCTCTGTCTTTACAAAGCATGTACAAAGATGAGGCCTAAGCTCTACTACGCAATAGAGGGCAGCTTCAGAAACAGGACAATAATAGGAATTTTTTCCAGAAATCTTATGGCTAACTTATGACAATTAACATTTAATATTTTTCAGTCCATGGTAGTTATATAACCCAGTATAGGAAGAGTAATTCTTTCTGGAGTCTTCTCCTGAAGGAAATGCAGCTATTCAGACATTATAAAACAGTAAGTACTTATATTTAATGATCAGCAACTATACCCAAGTTCTCAAAAACTTGTCATGTGTGTGTATACACACACATATATATACATACACAAATAACACACATACAATACAAATGTGTCTATAAGGAGATGTAAGCCAGATGCCACATTTAAAAATAGCACAGACAACAGCACCTGCTCCCTACACCCTAACACCCACTAAAATCTTGAATTTCTATTGACTAAAACTGGGTTGGCCCATACTAATGACTTAAGATTCATACAAATTAGTACACTAATGGCTACATAGTATTACTGGACTTAATATAGACTGGATTCAGCAGGGATCTAGAAGAACCTTCTTTCGAGAACACCTTCAAGAGATACCTGATCCCAAGAATTACTGCTTGGGAGTAATCACAAACTGATTTTTTTTTTTTTTTTAACCTATATTGACATTTTGTTCCTCATGCACGTCATGAATTCCACTCCTTACATACCCACCCCCCAAAAGCTCTAATTTCTCCAAAATGTGATCAGATTTGTAGTTAAGACAGCAGTCTAGCCCTTCAAACACTAAATCAAAGGAGGGAATAAATACTTCTGTCAGGGGGCTCTGAGAAGCCTTCTGCCAACACTAGGCAAGAACATGCCTACACTACACCCCACAATCAGCTAACCAGGGAGGTTCTGAGACACTCCATACTCCCTTGTTCGATTCCCAAACTGGAGCAGAAACACACAATGCCCTAGCCCTCCACGGCCTCCCAACAAGTGTGGAGAGGCTTGCTTATAGCTGATCCCACCACTGCCAGGGCTTCTTTTTACCCACAAGGGAGGCTTCAGTACTGCCTTATGATTTGCTGCCAAAAAACAGGCAAAGCATTACCTTTTTCCTTAATAAAATCCCCAGACATTCCTTTTGACCAGGTATGGGCCCATTACATCTTTCTGACTCTGAGTTTAAAAAATAGCCTTTAAATAAAGAATTTTAAAATACAGATATTTGAGATGAGGTAGTGTTGATTCTATCCCTTTCATTTTATAAATAGGAAAACTGATACCCACAGTAATTTAGCCATTTGGCCAAAGTCACAGAGTCAATTAGTGGCAGATCTTGTGAGTCCTCAACCAGGCTCTTTCAGTGCCCCACCTTTGGAGATGAGAGTACTGCTAGCCGGGTTCTGTAAATGTGTAGCAGATACAAGCTGCTAATACCCAAAGCAGAGCAGCAAACTCATTCCTTTGCTCAGGCTTTTCCCCAAGGACAACTGCTTCACCCTCTGGGCTTTTTCCAACTGTGATGAATTTAATCATTTGCTACCAGGAGTTAGTACAAGTGGTTCAGGCAGCCATTTGGCTCAATAAATCAAGGAATTCTGCAAAACTTGATGTGATCAGGAGATCTACTGGACAGAACCCAGGGAAATAGCTATGGGCTCCAACACAAAGAAAAGAGAAAATTCTGTCTTCTCTGCATCATTTTTGGCTTCCTGAAATAGTAAAACGAGGACTTTTAAATATTTATCTGTCCACATTTGTTTTACAGAGGATTCTTGCTAATTTATCTCGTATTCAATCAGTAATCAGTTCCCTTGAGAGGCGGGGGTGTTAATTCACCTATCTCACTGCAAATGCCAGCCATTCATTTTTAATAAGCAATAAAAATCTGGTAATGCTCTTAGTATGTAAGAGGAGGTAGTTTAGGAATCAGAAGGAAATGTAAAAGGAACTCCCCTAACAGAAGGTTTAAAGACAGCTTAACCCTTTTTAGAATATGATGAATAAACTTTGACTCTTCAAGGTAAAACATCCCAGCTTAAGGCAGGTAAGTGTCACTGCAAGATGTCAAAAACCAAAGAATTAAAAATGAGCCAAAAACAATGTAGAAGAGAAGGAAGAGGTCCCAGGAAAAAGAAGAAGGTAGTGCTTTTCTGAGGACTGAGATCTGTTCTGTGCTCCACATCTTTAAACCTTTCAAAGGGCTAGATGTTTCTCCAGCATCTCTTTTGTGTGCTTGTGCTAACACAGAAAGCAGAATGCCTACAGGGACTGAAAGTAAAACTGAAGTGTATCAAGAAACAGAAGAAAAGACACCTCTAAACTCACTTTTTGAAAAAAGCAACACAAAATTAAAGCTAAGGCCAAGGTCTTACTTTCCCGGATCAGGCATCTGTGTGCACAGCAACCGCAGAGACTGAAAACTCCTCCGGATTGAATGAATATTTGCCATCCCCATAAACACTACTTCACAGTTCGGGTAATACTCTGCAGAGAATAACAATAAAAAGAACAAAAATATGTTAAATTTAAAGCCCACATGGCCAAATTTAAAAGCAGCAAACTGGCTATAAAACAAACCCACTATAGCTGCTGACTAATGAAACTGAAATGTTTTGATGCCTATTAGTCCAGTCCTTTATGAGAGGAAACGGTGCTTGAATTTTAGCTGTTTTTGCAAAAAGGAAAATTTGTGAAGATATGGACATAAAACAAGTTTTTCTTTCTTTTTTTTTTTTTTTTAAAAGATCTACATCCTTCCATCTGACCCCAGGTTTACTTCTGGGGCCATTTCTAACTTGTAGCTCTGGAATTTCTTTGAAAAGAAGCTGGCAGAACAATGCGTTTTATGCATTCAAATTTCACCTTGGGTCAACTGCTTTTAACTTCCAGTTTAAATCACATCTGAATAAGGAGCTTGGTGGCCACTACTTGCTCCATCAGCACACATCTGGCACTAAAGGGATTCCTTCTTGGAGAAAGCCAGCATTCAAATAGTAGGGATGCTACAGGTCAGGACAGAGGTGCTTTGCTAGAATTCAGTATTTGCTGCTTCAATTCCCACCTCAGGTTTTCTATGTAGAAGCCATATGGGAGTTTCCTGTGAGGTCAGTAATGAGTAAACCCACTGTCAAAGGCAACAAAAAGCTTTCAGAAGGCTGAGAAATTGAGCCACTTAAAGAAGCAACTTGCAAACATGAACAGGCCTTACTCACTACAGGGGAGGACTTACTTTTTATTTTTATTTATTTATTTATTTTTAATCACTTAAAGGTTGGGAAAATAACCGATTATTTGGTTTCAATGCACCTCATCCTCTGTTTCTTCCCTGAAAAGAAACTACAGCGTTAAGAATCCAAACAGTTCTGGCTCTCTCAAGACAGCTGAGGAACACGGTTTGCCATTCATTTCAAAATGAGAACTAAGACCCAACTGGGCATGAGCTGAGCTCACAAGAACAGAGTGTTATGGGACAGAGCACTGTTCACCTCACCTGGGCATTCACAGCCTCCTCCTTTGGCTCGGTTTGCCACCGCTGCTGCATAGGAGCGTGCATCCAAGATCAAAAGCTTCTGCGGTTGGATGGCTAAACTTTCTGCTCCCGAAGCATTGGACAGAGAAGAATCTAGGAACACCAGGAGTGGGGATGAAAAACTGAATGAACCCATCTCTCCCAGAATTGTGCAAAATAAGAACCAAAAACACCTTTTATAGTAACAGAACAAACAAAACCTCAATTAAGTGAAACCCACCTAACAAGAACGCTTGATACACAGGATTTCTTCCTATAACCTCCTTTATCTCATTTCTACATGTGTACTCCTTTAATGAAGGCTGGTGTCTCCTGCTATGGTCTGGAGACACTCCAGGTTCCCTATCGCGTATATACTCCATTCTTGTCACAGTGACAAGAAAGACAACCAACACTCTAGTCCTAGTAAGCCAAGTCTTAAAGAGTCTTCTGGTTCTTTGTCAAGATGTGTGACTCCTCAAATAATCCTATCAATTAAAGCTTTGCCTGCTCTCTCCTATGAAACAGATTCTATGTCTTACAAGGAGAAGGCCATTTCAAGAAAAAGTTCTCACAAGACACTATAAAAATTGCTGCCATTGGTCTAGGGAGCATCTTACCAAACTCCACATCGGAAAGGTCTCCTGCATTTGGAAAGTCTCGAGAACTGTTCCTAGTTGACAGCCTGCTGCCACTTGATCGGGAATCAGAGGCACAAGCTTTGGCTACTGACTGCACCAGATGCTCATCATCAGCATTTCGCCAGCCCCACCAGCTGACCTCCGGCTGTCCACAGCGGGCAATGACAGCTCCATTGCTCTGGTGCCTGCACAAGCAACAAGAAACAACAACTATACCCATCTCAGTGGTCCCATTCAGATGCTCTGTGCTCACACAAAAAGTAAGGTAGTAGATTTTAAATGCATTAATGAAGAGCTTGAATACAGGTAAGTGAAAGTGATGTAAAGTTAGCTTCAAGTCATCTAAGGGCAGAAATCTTCTATAGCAACAGGAACAAACAACAAAACCTATCTGGATCTTTCTCAAATACTGTACTATTTTAGAAACCTTTGTAGAGTTACCAACAAAATGATAAACGTGTTCTCTTAGAAAAAAAACAAATTAATATGCATAAAGTAAATGTTTGACTCTTAAAATTTATTTTTGGAAAATCAGGTAAGAAATAATCTACAAATACTACACTAATTCTGCTACTCAATAATGAAACACTAATCTCTCCTTTTTAATACTGCCCCTGAAAATCCTGGCATAACAGATGCTGAAACAGGAAAATTTGTTTTCACACCAACTTCTGAGGGCCCCACTGCAGCAACTGTGCACTTATGGTTGGCTTTGGAGATTCTTTTCAAAACAAGATCCCACCTTTGGGACTCAAACACTTACCTGACCCACAGTGGACTACTCTACAAAATCCCCTGAGATTTCATGACTCACAAACTGCTCTTATTATAAGCAGATAGCTCAATGAGCTATACTCCAACAGATTCTTTCTTAAGAAGTTAAGACCAAAAATCTTACTCAAAAGTCTACTTCAAGATGCTATTAAAACCCAATATTGGGGCGCCTGGGTGGCGCAGTCGGTTAAGCGTCCGACTTCAGCCAGGTCACGGTTTCGCGGTCCCTGAGTTCGAGCCCCACGTCGGGCTCTGGGCTGATGGCTCAGAGCCTGGAGCCTGTTTCCGATTCTGTGTCTCCCTCTCTCTCTCTGCCCCTCCCCTGTTCATGCTCTGTCTCTCTCTGTCCCAAAAATAAATAAACGTTGAAAAAAAAAATTAAAAAAAAAAAAAAACCCAGTATTTTCCTCGTTAGGAATTTAGGTGATTTTAGCAATTAAAAAGTTATAAAAGATTTGGCAATCAAAAGGTACAAAGTTCCAATAAATGCTATACCATGGATGAACCTGGAATATGTTATGCTAAGTGAAAGAAGTTAGTCACAAAAGTTCACATATGGTATGATTCTGTTTATTAGAAGTGTCCAGAATAGGCAAATCTATAGTGGCAAAGTAGATTACTAGCAACCTGGGGTAGGGGGCTTGGGGAGGGAGGGAATAAAGAGTGACTACTAATGGATCTGGAGTTTCTTTCTGAGGTGGTAAAGGTGTACTAAAACTGACTGTAGTGATGGTTGCACAACTCTGTGAATACGCAAAAAAAAAAAAAAAAAAAATCAAATTGAACGCATTAAAAGGGTGAACTGTATGTGACAATCTTAAAGTGGTTTTCAAAAAGTTATAAAAGTAATCCTTTGATTAGAAAACTAAGAAGAGTAAGAAGTTAGTAAGCAAAAAAATTAAATGTCCCCCAATCCTATATCCTGGGGGGAACTATCAATTTCTTACCTCCCATTAAAATCTAAACACATACACATGCATGCACACACCTAACACATATTTAACATACAGATGGATGTAAATAAAACATACTATTGAATCTATGTGACATCTTCAAGGAACAATGTAAGAAAGATTTTTGTTATTAATCCTAAAGCTCATGAACAGCCAATTAAATTTGGCAATGACCAAATTCCATTGGAACCATCAGTTTGCTTGTAGTTTTTAGATCCTCCCTCACAGAGAGAGACAAGGAAACAACTTGTATATTGCCAATATGCTCAACCGGCTCACCTGCTGAAAGGAGCCCAACTGGAAATAGAACCTCACTAATCCCTAAAATACCAACTAGTATATATAACAGGCACTGATAACAACTGAGCCGACTGATGCCAAACCTTCACAATAGAGGCTGGCAGGGCCTTTCCTGAGCATCCTCTTTCTCTGCAATGCTTCCCAACAGTGCCCAAGAGGAACACAAGATGGCACTCTTCAGCTTGGATCTTGGGTTTTAAGGGTAATGGTACTTTACAGCTAGACTGCAACTGAGCTGTTGCACTAAGCAGTTTTCTGCAGTCTTCTAAAATGCTTCAGACCACATGATCAAGAACTAAAGCAATACAGCTAAAAATCACTAAAGAATATTTCTACCATTTTAACAAAAAAATCAGGAAAAAGTATAAAAATTAAGATATCCAAATGGATGAGTCCCCTACTGAACACAGAGGCTTCAATTTTATATAGAAACACGTACATATTTAAACTATCCCTAAGTTAGTGTTGGGCAAACTCTCTAAATGACTAGAAATTTCTAATAACCACTCTGCACGAAGAGGGGAACTGTGATTTGCACTACAGATGGATGCCCTTTGCACCATCTCTGTCTTCAGTGATCAATCCAATTAAACACTCTCTCATCACAGTGGGGAAAAAACACAAATCAGGCGCTGGTTCAGCGTGGTGCTGTCAGGTAACTGCTGCTAGCAACCTCAGGAATCATTACTGCAGTCTATAGACAACTAAATTCCATAAATGTATGCTGGTTTCGGAAGTATCTTGCCACCTGGGCTGGCAAAGCAGAGAGTGGCAGAGTATCTCCAGAACATTCTTCAACATACCCCTGACAAAGCTCCCCAATAATTTAACAACCCAGTTAGGGGCTCAGAGATACAAGACACATTTTCCAAAACAGAGGCTAGTTCCTAGAAGCCTGATTTTATGTAACTATACTAAGGAACTGTCATTTGTAATCCTTTGAGAGATTTTCTCAGAGAAATTGGAAATAAAAATTTCATTTATATATACTCTATGGTCTCTAGAAAGGATTGGGAAAAAACCCTATGGTTTGTGCCCTCTAGAATAAATTTTAGAAGGGAAGAAAGGTTTCCCATGTTTATTCTAAAAAGTTTTTCTTTTTTTTTTTTTTTTTAATTTTTTTTCAACGTTTATTTATTTTTGGGACAGAGAGAGACAGAGCATGAACGGGGGAGGGGCAGAGAGAGAGGGAGACACAGAATCGGAAACAGGCTCCAGGCTCTGAGCCATCAGCCCAGAGCCCGACGCGGGGCTCGAACTCACGGACCGCGAGATCGTGACCTGGCTGAAGTCGGTCACTTAACCGACTGCGCCACCCAGGCGCCCCTAAAAAGTTTTTCTTTAATTCGCACTTACAGGCCTCTCTACCAATTCACCTAAAGCCCGGTGACAGTTCTTCGCCCTCACTCTCAAAGTCAACAAACCCTACAAATGCCAGGGCTGCTGAGCTAACACAGCTGTTGGCCACAGAGCAGCAGCTGGCTGCTTTCCCTATTTGAGCTGGGCCCATCACTGATAAGATGCAAATCCTTTCAGCTCTCCCTGCTCTGTAATTCCTGTGTCATCCCTGGCACTTGAGTGATAGGTAAATTTGGTGACCTATTTTTCTAGGGGTGTTTGAAAACAACAGTGATGAAAATTGAGATTGAAAATTTAACAGACTCTACTGGGCCAGAAACAAATACTTCTTCATCTCTATTCAGGATGGCCATCATAATCTGCCATCAGTGGACTACATGAACAAGCTGGTTACCTCAGTGGAAATTCCACAAGGAGATAAATCCCTTCCTATACAAACTCAATATTTCAATGGAATGCCTCCTGGCATGAAAGAGTCTCTAACTAAGCCCCACTGGTTTGGCCCAAATTCAAGGAAAGCCCGAAAAGTCTGCAAACTGGGAAAATGAAATAGAGAATGTAAATATTACAAAGAGATGACATGTGAAACAGTTTCAAAATAAGAGGGAATGCTTTCTTAAAATCTTAACATGAGTCCTTGAGAAGTGAGCTCCTCAATGAATTATAAAAGCAACCCCCAGGAATACAACCTACTCTGCTGAGAGAAGCCCAGTATATACAGATTCATTTAGGAGGCACAGGATACCTGTAAAGTAAGAACATCACTCCCACTTTACTAATTAGGAACAGGCTGAGGCCAGTTAGGCAATTTATTTTAAGTGCCTTAGCAAGGAGTATTAGTGAAAAGACCTGAACTCCAAAACCTCTGCTCGTTCACACTACCATCCCCCTTCTAGACTTGCTCCCTTGGCTCTCAAGCCTTTCATCTCTGAGATCTTCTACCTGGCAAAGCCCTAGCCTTCCTCTTCAAATGCTCCCTCTTAAAGCAGAACTCTTTCATGTGTTGAAGTTTCAACCACAAAGACTATCGCAAATGACTCAATTCTATACTCCCAATTCTCACTTTCTGGAACTCACCTCTCTCAATCCAAAGGCCAACATCTGAAGCTAAATGCTGAATATTAAGCATATTATCTTCCATAGAATGTCAGAAGTATATTTAAAATAGCAAGACAAGCCACTTTTCTATTAAAATTTTCTTATCAAATAAACCATCAGCAAGTGTGCTGGATGCAGTAAACACTGGTGTGTCACTGTTAGAGTGGATTTTACAATAAGGTAGCACAGAACTGCCTGGAAAGTTCTCTGAACCCTTGTCTCCCTTCCCAGGTTAGCAACAGCAGAGGCAGCACACCTCATGCAGTGGAGAGTAACACCAGACCAAGATGGGCCTGGCCAGGCTTACTTACCTGTAGACGACAGCAGGGATGCGCTTCCAGGACCTGAAGCTTGCTACACTCTCTAGTTCTTTATCAGTGATCCAGGCAGGCACTATGAGCTCCTGTGGATAGCTACCACATAGCCTAATGAGAAAGGTGAGAAAGAGGGAGTGGGAGAAGAAGACAGAGAAGAAAGAAGGAGAAACACTAGGTGAACCAGAGTTAAGGATGTTGATTAAGCTACCCCACAGCCAGTTGAAAAATAAGGAGCTTTACTTGAGTCTTGGCCTATTCAGCAGAATCAGTTGCCTTGAGTGTTTACTTATGTATATATCATGTGGCACTACCATGGCTTGTTCTACCTCCTGCTGCCTTTGAGAATCTGTTGATCTTAACATCAGTAATATATAAGGGGAGTTGACAGTTACTCCACTGTAACTTTCTGTTGTTTAAAAAAACACATAGATAATTTCTAACTATACAAAGTAAATGCCCAATCTAACTACAGAAGGAAAGTCTATCACCTCTACCAGACTCTCACTCTTTCAGGCTTCTATCAAAGAGAAACATGTGAAGAAGGACAAGAGCCCACAACTTCAAGTTTCCAGAGACCTTATAAGATTATTAATGTATTCTTTGATGTGTCCTAATTATAGGTAACAGGGGCAGACATGGGTATGCAGAAACAGTACCACAGGACAGGCCACCTGCATACATAATCACAGCCCCACTGATCCAAGTTAGTAATGTGAATGAGCTGTTCATCACAATTTCTATAAAACATACTGCAGAATTATTCTCAGGGGGAAAAAGCTCTGTTTTCATTAAGCAGCAGCCAGTAGCTTCATGCTAGTCAAGCTGGTGCCCTAAAAAGCAGTTATTACTGATAGGTATTTCACTTACAGGACAATGTCCCTCTATGGGTATTTCAATATTCCTTTTCAATAGTAAAGGCAAGAGGACTTTTAATCCAAATCCTAAAATATACAAATTCCTCCTTCTCCTGCACCACCACTCCCCTGCCCTAGCCTTATGCATTAAGGGAAAAGGCAAAGAACACAAAGTAGCTTAAGAATTGGGAGTTTTGATCATTCTGCACTAAATATCTCCTCCATCTTGTTCTCAATTTCCAGAAGATTAAATATCAGGAATTTAAAAGTCACTAAACCAACAGAATATCTATGACCAGGAGTAGCTCTACAAACTTAACACTTTCCCATAAACTCCTAAAAACAACCAGGACACGGTGACCATAGTTAATGTGCTAACCATGAGTTTTGTTCTTTTGTCTTATTTCTTTTGTCTTGTTTAAAACTTAAGAGTAAATTTAGCTCTCCTTCTTTGTAGTAGGAAGAACTTTTCAATGTCCTAAAGACTGGTTCTGAGGTAGAAACAGTGGACTCAAAGACAAAAGTTGATTTTTAAAACCAACACTGAATAGGGATTTTGAAAACCAACTGGCTTTTGAACTCATTTTTTTCCCAACAAGCTTAGCTTAATTCAGTTTTCTGACTTCACCCAATATTCTGATCATTGTATTCCTTGTCCTAGAAGTATTACACTATCTAGTAGTCACCTCTTTAGCAAACACTAGCTGTTCACATGTAAATAAGCAGTTTCCAGCATAGGAAATGTGAGTTACACATGAGCAAAGCCTGTGTAGGCTTTGTAGTCTCAGGCTCTCTGAGGCCTCTCCTCCAGTCTCCACCTCCATTCTCTGCTTTATCTTGTGATGGAGACCAGGCAAAGGTACGACAGACCTAAAGCTCCCATTTTTTTCATAACACCCCAAGGTTCTTAATTCCTTAGGCAAGGTCCATGTTAAGAGCTACATACAGTAATTAGCTGTAGTTTTTCCAATTAAAAATGAAATGCTCTGATGGGTACCCACAAACAGACCAGGAAAATAGCCATCATGATTTGAGACAACTCAAAAAACGGAATGATTAATGCCTCCAACTGCTAGAGGGAATCCTAAGAATATTAATTTAAATCTCTTGAACAATCTTCTTTTGTTTTATAGAAATCTGGATCACCAAAATCATAGTAGTTAACTGCCCTCCCCCACACCAAAGTACTTACACCTTTTAAGGAAACAGGTAATAGGAAATATTTAATGATTATATTAATATTTAATCATTAAATGATCAAAGCTATGAAGTTAGAAAGAATAGTACTTAACGTCTATTTCATAGAATCTGGAGTAAAATTTGTCATAAATATTCCCTGCTGAGTGTTTTATCACCGCTTGTGAGATCACTGATTCTATCTCCAAAGTGAGGTCAATTGGTGATGAGAACAATGGAAACTGCTGGCCTACCCGTGAACACAATACTGCCCAGGAAATGCATGCACCAGGAAGAACAGAGGCCTGGAGGGGATGGAAAAGAAGTTTCCAGCTAGAATCCTATTAAGGATCACTTTTCCACTCCAGTGAGAGCAGTGGGAACAGAAGACTCAAGAAGTACTCTGAAGACCCTGCAGTGAGATGTAATAAATCTCTATTGAAAGAAAATGTCTAAGTTCACATGTTCTGCCACATGAGAACTGGGGTATCTGCAAAGGCACTGGCTATGAAACACAGTCCACAGGGTCCCATACAACTCACTTATACTTCTCATTGATATTGGAAATCCTCCAGGCATTGTTCATATCAAAACCCATCCGCTCCACTTCGTTTTTAAATCTTGACGTTACATGCTCCCCTAGGGGTCAAGGACAGCAGAAAGAAATGAATACCATTTTGCAAAACAGGTAGAATAAAAGCATAGCTACCCTGCTAGTTATTACATAAAGAAAATATATATTAGTTTTAGTTTAAAACTACAGTTTTAGTTTTAAATATATTTAGTTTTAGTTTACAAATTCCCTGCCAGGACAAGGCTATATACAAAGGAATGAGGAAATTAAATTTTTTAATTGAAGTATAGCTAACATACAATTTACATTAGTTTCAGGTGTAAGACATAGTGCTTCAACAACTACGTACATTATGAAATGCTCACCCTAAGTACAGGTACCATCTTTCACCATACAAAGTTATTATAGTATTACTGACTGAACCCTATTCTGCTAGTGGAAGTTTATACCTCTTAATCCCCTTCACCTATTTTGCCCATCCCCTACACACCTCCCCTCTGGCAACCACCAGTTTGTTCTCGGTATTTATGAGTCTGTATCTGTTTTTTCGTTTGTTCATTTGTTTAGATCCCACATATAAGTGAAATCATATGGTATTTGTCTATCTCTGTCTTATTTCACTTAGCATAATAACTTCTAGGTTCCTCCATGATGTCACAAATGCCAAATTTTCTTTCTTTTTTTTAATGGCCCATTATCCCTGTGTATGGAATATTACACACATATACCACATCTTCTTTATCCATTCATCTATTGACAAATGCTTAGGCTGTTTTCACATCTTCAAATTTTGATCAAGAATCAGGTTATCTCAGGGCACCTGGGTGGCTCAGTTGGTTAGGTGTCAGACTTCACCTCAGGTCAATGATCTTGCAGGTCGGGTGGGTTTGAGCCCCACATCGGGCTCTGTGCTGACCGCTCAGAGCCTGGAGCCTGCTTCAGATTCTGTGTCTCTCTCTTCCCCTCCTCTGTTCGTGCTCTCTCTCAAGAATAAACATTAAAAAAAATTTTTTTTTTTTAAAGAATTAGGTTATCTCATCTAATCACTACTACCTACTCTGAGTGGTTATCACTGAGTTCATTTTACACAGGATAAAACTGAGACTGAGAGAGGTTATTATGGCAAGTCTGTCTGGTCCCAAAAACCCAGTCCTTGTCACTACACTGGCTACTTTCCTAGGTCCACACTCACAGTATACATAAAAAATAATACCAAGTTCATCAAGAATAGTAATATAGATCTACAACTCATCAGAAAGACTAAGGGCCAGATCTCAAAACTTAGGTTTTCTGGAGTTTAAGATAGTGCACATAATATAGTATTAGGTTAACACTCTCTCAACAGGATCTACTAATCAAACATTAATATTTCTACAGTGAAATGCATGGATAATTCACACTAAATGAGATAAGTCAAGCTTCATTTCAGCTCAGACCAGGTCAAGCCACCAAATAAGATAAGAAAAATCTTTTTATTTTCAGAGGCTTATAGATTATAGAATTTTAGAGATCACAAAACTATAATAACTCCCAGTACCTAGGAATCTCAGGAAACACCATACTACTAACTAAAGTGCTGACCACCTGTAAGAACATTCACCCAAACAAGTATAACCTGCCCACGTTTTGCCCTAATGAAACTGGCTTTCTCTTCCTAAAGACAGTGAGCTACAAAGGCAGAAATGAACCTAACATAAAAGTCATTAAATCTGAAATAACCTTCTTCCTTGAAAACACACAGAGTCCTAGGGCAGTAAAACAAACAAAAAACGATTAAGCAGTATCTCTAATATGTAGTATTATAGGTAGTAAAGTAAATGCTGGTGGGGGCTTGGAGAAACAACAATAACAAAAGCACAAAGCAGATTGCTTTGGTGATCAAAGTATAAAGCTTTGCTCTCCCTGGGAGTGGAGCTTCAGAACAGCAAACACCAATTACTTGAATGAAGGACAATTCTATAAAACTACTTCCTATTTAAACTGCTTTTCTTGAGTTTAAACTAGGTATTATACGTTTCCTGAAGGAGAGCTATAAAAAGATGAGGTGCAGAGATGCAGGAAGAAATAATCAGCTGAATGCATCCCATTCTGGAAAAATTTTAGAAATGATGTGGGCTTTGAAATAGGAAAAAAGCTATCCAAATTGGGGTGCCATCTGTCTACAAATTGCAAGGAATAGTGACCATCAAGAATATTAGACAGTCTTTCACTTATAATCCCAATCTAAAAACTGTAAAACTGTAACAATTTCCAAGTTCATTCATTAATGAGATTTTTCCCACCTCCGTACAGCTCCAAGTCTTTGCAAAAGGTTAAAAGTACTTTAATGATTGTTAACATTAGTACCTCCATCTTAGTGTAAGCACATAGATACTCTAAAATAATCACTGGCAAAATCACCACCAGCATCACCACCACTGGTAATTTATCACACAGAACTGTTGCCCAAAGAAAAGCTTACAACCATCATCAGGAGCATGAAGTTCTGAGCGACAAAGAAATATATACTGCCTAGCAAGCATAAAGCATTTGTTATTCAAGTTCCTTGAGAAAAAAGACTTTTAATTACCTTTGTATCCTCTAAAGCACTAACTTCCTAACTTTGAAAATGACCATCACAATTGAATTATGTTTTATATCATAATCCAACATAACATGTTTATTTTTAAGAGTTTCACAAAACTGTACCTACCATTACTATGTGTGACTCATTTTGGTATTTTCTATCCTAAGTGTTTCATTTTGTATTTCATTTCTTAAAACTTTGATTTCATGACCCACAAGTGCATAACAACTAACAGTTTGAAAAGTAATGCTTTAAAAAATAAATCTAGGGGCGCCTGGGTGGCGCAGTCGGTTAAGCGTCCGACTTCAGCCAGGTCACGATCTCGCGGTCAGTGAGTTCGAGCCCCGCGTCGGGCTCTGGGCTGACAGCTCAGAGCCTGGAGCCTGTTTCGGATTCTGTGTCTCCCTCTCTCTCTGCCCCTCGCCCGTTCATGCTCTGTCTCTCTCTGTCCCAAAAATAAATAAATGTTGAAAAAAAAAATTTTTTTAAAAATAAATCTAGCAATGGGATGCCTTGGTGGCTCACAGTCGGTTAAGTGTCCAACTTCGGCTCAGGTCAGGATCTCATGGTTCATGGGTTCAAGCCCCGCATCAGGCTCTGTGCTGACAGCTCAGAGTCTCGAGCCTGCTTCAGATTCTGTGTCTGTCTCTCTCTCTCCCTCTCTCTCTGCCCCTCCCCTGCTCATGCTCTCTAACATTAAAAAAATATATATGTATTTTTTTAATATAGGAGACCTTAAATACATGAGTAATTCAACTGGCTTTTGCCAAATTGTGTTAGAAGTTCCCTTATGTTTATTCAGCCAGAAAAATGAATGCCAAGCACATCTCTTTGCTGATTTCTCTTAAGAATTTCTAAGAATTCTCATGTTTCCACAATACTAGATATACTATAATCCATTTTAAATATTACGGTTGTAAGTTTCTTGTTCTTTTTTGAGGAGAGACGGCGCACATGGGGGAGAGGGGCAGAGGGAGAAAGAGAATTTTTTTTTTTTTTTAATGTGTATTCATCTTGAGAGAGCAAGTGCACACAAGTAGGGGGAAGGGCAAAGAGAGAGGGAGAGAGAGAATTCCAAGCAGGGTCCTCACTGTCAGTGCAGAGCCCAGTGTGAGGCTTAATCCCATGACCCATGAGATCATGAGCTGAGCTGAAACCAAGAGTCAGATGCTTAACGGACCAAGCCACCCAGCTGCCCCTGGTTATAAGTTTTTTGTTTTGCTTTATATTTCCATTTCAACCCTCCTGTCTGCCCTCCCCCAATCTCAAATGAAATGTGTCCTTTTTTAATATTTAGTTATTTCTTGTACAACAAATGCAAACAGTCCAGCAATTCTTATTTTAGTGGGAATGAAAACCTTTTTAAAGCAATGAGCCCCTCTAACATAACCAGTGTCAAGAGGCAGTCTAAAAAATTTTCCCCCCCAAAAAATCTAGCTCCCTGGGTGATCCTGAGTATTCGAGCCCACAATTATAGACAGCTTAAAGGCCTGTGATAAAAGAGCCTGACCTCTACCCAGGATGTAAGGGAAAAAAAACAGCACCAGAGTCAGGGAAGGTGAGAACCAGCCCTTCCAGATTTTCAAATATAGGAGGAATCATTCTTTTCTATGAACAAAGGTCCCAGTACAGTCATCTAAATGTACGCTTACTGGACTGCATTCAAATACGTAAGACAGACTCTGCTGGCAGGGGCTTTTGCTTTATAGGAAACAGGCAGCTGCACAACAGTGCTAAGACCCAGAGTCCTATGCTGTTCATGGTTAAACAAAATGCTTAATGGGCATTTCACACAAGAGAGGTCAGAAAGGTGGGCCTGATGCTACTAAACTAACAAATGAATTGCCCAATCATCTGTCAGGACTCCTGCCTAATGCTCAAGTACAGAACTATCACCAAGAAGGCTGCTACAATGAAGAAAAGAAAACTGAGCATGTGGGAGAGAAGCTTTAAGCTTTTAATCCATTCCTTTTTTAGAGTCTGCAATGGGTCTAAGAGCGGAGTCAACAGTTTTGCAAAGGCTTTTGCAAGTTTCACAGGTAAACTTCCAATAACAATGTTGAGACTTCTTCCAAAGCTGACTAAGACTCAGAGCTTTGGCTACAATGTGGCTTGCTTAACTATAACAGCTTCAACAGTCAGAAACTAAGATTTATATAAATACAAGGTAATGATGCAATTTTCCCATTTCCCTCCTCCCTGACACATTCTACTCTTAACAGGCTAGGCAGAGAAGAATCCATAAAAGGCCTTATTAACTACTAAAAGACTAAATAAACTAATAACTTCAACCCTTCAGAGTCCATGCTTATGATCTCATGTGTTGGAGCAGATTATACAAAGGCATTATTTTGAAATATCTCAAGTGCTGTCTCACCCTAAAGATGACTTAGAAGAATGTGGTTGTCTGGTATGCTCATATTTGGTGAGTAATGCTGTAGCCACCATCAACACTCAACAATATTGGGTGGAGACAGAAGAACCAGGTTGACTGACTTTAAAAATGCCACTGGGGCGCCTGGATGGCGCAGTCGGTTAAGCGTCCGACTTCAGCCAGGTCACGATCTCACGGTCCGTGAGTTCGAGCCCCGCGTCGGGCTCTGGGCTGATGGCTCAGAGCCTGGAGCCTGTTTCCGATTCTGTGTCTCCCTCTCTCTCTGCCCCTCCCCCGTTCATGCTCTGTCTCTGTCCCAAAAATAAATAAACGTTGAAAAAAAAAAAAATGCCACCAGTGTTTTGCATAAGAGCAAGTTTTCCCTCTGTACGCCATAGTGAAAATATATAAAAAGGAAAAAGCCATACATATGCACATACTCAAACCAAGTACAGTAAGATTCCTTGTGACAGCAAGTTAACTTAGTGTGGATTTGTATATACTATGAAGAAACAAAATACAACCATCACTCAGAGTAAGTTCCAACCAATCAGTTACAATGGCATCACCTTGTAGATTCAGTTTCCAAAATGTTTTAACAAGTATGGCACATAGGAAGCACTCAAATATTTACTGAACTCTCCAGCAATAATAGATCTGATCTGCAGGATACCCTGATCAACTTGGACAGGAATAACAGGAATGTCTCAGTTTGAAGAACAAAGGAAATTAAAGTACAGAGAAGATAAATGGCTTCCCCAATATTTTTTTAATTAAATGGTAAAATATATGTATTTGAATTCAGGTTTCCTAGTTCTTAAATCAGTACTTTACCCCCCAAATACCTCCATCCATCAAAAACTCATTAAAAGACAGAGGACACTACAGACATCTATATGTTCTGGTAGCCAAAGGATACCAGGTCAGAAACGGAAGGGTCTGGGGACCCAAGTCATCCCAGCTCAAGACAAAGCAATCCATAATTAAAAGAGTGAAGCTCTGGGATGCCTGAGTGGCTCAGTCAGTTAAGCGTCCAACTCTTAATTTCAGCTCAGGTCATGATCTTGTGGTTCATGATATCGAGCCCCGTGTCCAGCCCTGTGTTAACAGCACAGCGACTGCTTGGGATTCTCTTTCTCCCTCTTTCTCTCTCTGCCCCTCCCTGCCACTTCGCTGTCTCTCAAAATAAATAAACATTAAAAAAAAAAAAAAGGTGAAATTCTGATGTAGCACATCTTAGCAATACCCTAAGAGATTGCCCAAATCCAAAAGAAACTAATTTTATCAAGGGAATAAAGAATCATCTAAAGAGATGAGGAATTTTCAGTCTGTAGTTGTGAGAAAACAAATTAGAATAAAACAAGCCCTGCTGACTAACCAACCTAAAACTAGGGAAATGCCCTTTAGAATTAGGAGTCTTAAACAACTGAAGTTCTTATATAACATAATGTGCAGCAAGATATACTCACTAACTTCATTATCCTAGCAAATGGTACAGACTAAAAAAATAGATTTTTTTGAGAGACAGAGAGGGAGAGAGGGAGGGAGGGAGGGAGGGAACACAAGCAAGAAAGAGAATCTTAAGCAGGCTCCATGCCCAGTGCAGAGCCCAATGGAGCTCAATCTCCCAACCATGAGATCATGACCTGAGCCAAAATCAAGAGTTAGACGCTTAACCAACTGAGCCACCCAGGTGCCCTGAGAGTAAAAATTTGATAAGATACAGTGGTTAAAAATTCAGCAAATATACATGTAAGATCTGTGCATTTCCCTGTAGGTAAATTTTATCTTTAAGAAAAAAAACCTTGACAAAAGCCATAAAGAACAACAACAAAAATACAATGGCTTTTCAATAAAGGAAAAAGAAAAAGATGCAACGGATAAAGGAGTGAAGTGAGAGACAGTCTAAGGACATTCCAATATCCAAGGATGGTGTGGACTCTTATGGCTGACTATGAGCTCCACTGGCCCGACCAGGCTCATGAGCAGCTTGGAGTCCTGATGCTTTCCTTCAGGCTCCATGAGGGCAGGTACCAGTTTTTCATCTCCACATCCACAGAACTTTCCCCCAGTCTACTCTCAATAGCTGAGAACTGGGTTTAGGTACTAGCTCTGTCACTGACTGACGGTGGGACTTAGCAACAGGTTTTACCTCTGAGTCTCATTTCTTTGGCTCCCAAAACAGAAACACCAGGCTATCCTGCCTGTTTGACGAGGTCATAAGGGTCAAACAAAAGTATACATCAAAGCATCTTTAAAAATAAGATGATGCTTATGCTGTATTTTAATTATGAACCAAAATTTTCAACCAGTGAGTGAGCCAGGAAACAAAGTAATGCAAGCAATGCTAGATTAGCCTCAAATGTTTAAAATGACTCAGGGCAAAACTGTTAAGATCAAAAATTCAGGATTAAAAACTGAGGTTTAAAGAAAAAAGTCCCAAGAGGAAACTTTATTGGAAGGAGGCTCACAACTTTTCACTGTTTAGAAATCCAAGACTTTGCTTCCAGGCTTGACACACTAAAGATTGAGTGTTGGACCAGCAAAGTTCATTTATGGCAACATAAAGTTTACAGACAACTACATGCAAAGGAATAACATGAACTTGATCCAAGCCATTTCTGAGTGAGAAAGAGTAGGACAAAGATCTGTGAAATTAGAAGGCCTAGGCTCCAGCACAGGCTCAGCTTCTGTATTTGTCCTGAAGGAAGTCACCCGGCCTCTCTGGACCTCTGTTTCATCTATGAGATGAAAGGGGTAACAATAGGAAAATGTATGACTTGAAAACAAGAAGATACGGATGCCTGGGTGGCTCAATTGGTTAAGCATCCAACTCTTGATTTTGGCTCATCATGATCTCATACTTTGTGAAATCGAGCCCCATGTCGGGCTCTGTGCTGAGAGCACAGAGCTTGCTTGGGATTCTTTCTGCCTCTCTCTCTCTCTCTCTCTGCCCACCTCCCATCAAAATAAATAAACAAGCCTTTTTAAAAAAAGAAAATAAGAAGATAGTGAAAGGCCATTTTGTATGCCATTACTCTGAGCCCTAATGTCACACACTTCTGGACCTTTGTTCATGCTACTTGTTCCAACACTTTTCCTCTTTCTCTACTCAATGAACCCTTCTACCTGCAATGAACCCTTATTCTACCTCAAAAGCCACCATGAATGTGAAGTCTTCACATTTGGGAATGTGCATATGATTCATGGCTCCCTTCCATTAGGCTTCTTACAACACCCATTAAACCTTACTGTATATATATATATATTTTTTAGCCCCAGCAGATTGTGATGTGTTCTTCCTTTCCCCTAAAAGGCAGGAAACATGTTCTATTTATCTTAGAAGAATGATGCACAAATGCTTAGGTGCTCCATAAATATACACTGATTCAATACATGAATGCTTAGGAGTCCCATTTCATGTTAAGGGTACCTCAAACAATAATAGAACCACCATTTTTACATTTTAGAAAGGTCTACCTGGTCTGCACAGGTCTCCATGTTGTTCTTTTTCACTGGCGTAGACCTCCATGCACCAAGCATGGTATGCAAATGAGAAGAGATCTTCTATTTTAGCAGGTGGTCGGATTGCATTGTTTAGTCTCTTAAGCCACTCTTGACACTGCTCAAAGGTTGAGAACTGACACCTTTGTAAAGCCAAACAAATATGGATGTAATTAGAAGACAGCTGACAATATCAATAAGAGAAGCCAACATTTCAAGAGTACCTAACTCCCAGTGCAGTGACAGCTACGGTCAAGAAAAGCATCAGAGGTCATGTTTCACATGTTTATCATTTGTAATAACTACAGGTCCAACAAATTTTAGCCAATGGTACAAAATGTCAAAAAGGAAAAAAAAATGGACATGTGGAAAACTTATTTTTTAGACTAATTAAATGCTTAAGATTGATTAATGGTAATTATTAAAGTAAAATGGCAGCTTTCTCTTCCATGAGTAAGGTTTCCTTCTTCTGTATCTTCCACCAAAGCTTTATGGTTGTCAAGAAATAGGTTTAGAGAATGTTCATTTTGTTGTTATAACCTATCAGGCCAAGCTCAAAAATAAATCACAGCGCAACTTTTGGCCAGTCAGATAAGTTCAAATCTGTCTACTCAGCCATTAGAATAAATCAGTAATTGTATATCCAAAATAAGATACATTACACTGAAACTTTCAGCTGTAACCATGTAATCAAACAATTCTACTGTCAATTGCAATTTTCAGTACATACAGATTAAAATAATTAGGGCAAAAAATACTTCACCTTTTTAAATGCCAACAGTGTTCAAAACTGAGTAATTAATAAACAAGTTGTAGTCAGTACCTATGAAAAGCAAGCCAAATCTCAATGGCTACAAAGGAACTTATTTACCTTAAAACCAAGGAGTCCCCCGTAAACCTCTCCCCCATCCCAATCAATGTGGCTCATCAGTATGTCAACACACAACGTTTACTGGCACTCCAAAGTTAATCAAAGAGATAAACTAAAAACTTGCGGAATTTAGAACTTCTAGAGCTACTAAATTTAAAAACACATTTCAGGCATCATTTTGCAACCATTATAGTAAAGACAACATCAGATAAAAACCATAATGGATGCTAAATCTATGAAGAAATTTGATGAGAAGCAGGATATTTTCATTGTCTTAAAGTTTCTCCCACAGACTGTTTATCAGTTGCAAAGGAGAAAATGTAGGAATTATACAGAAAGCAGGGGACATCTTGACAAGACAGATCAAAATTGACATCAGCAATAGAGACAGATGGACACCGTTTGCCAACAGATTCAATAGCGTACCCTGAAAAAGACACAACCTCACACATACAGTATTGCAGCTGAAAATACACCACCTCAATTTAATCATAAGGAAACACTGGACAGACACAAAATGAGAAAAATTCTATTAAAATAAAAGATTATATTCTTTACAGTGTGAATATCATCAAAGACAAAGAGATGGAGAAAAATGCTTCAGATTAAATAAGGCTACAGAATCATGGCAATTAATGTAATACCTGACCTTGCATGGACCCTATTCTGAATGAGGAATGCTAGAAAGGGCATTATTAGGTCAAGTGACAAAACTGGAACATGGATAGCAGACTGGATAAAAGTATTATGAGTGTAAAGTTGTGAAGTTGATAATGACAACATGGTTATGTAAGAAAATATCCCTATCCTTAGGAAAGCACATCAAAGTATTTCAGGATGAAAAGCCAGGATCATGTAATTTACTTTCAAATTGTCTAGAAAAAGAAACACACACACACACACACACACACACAACACACAGCCCCTGTAAATAATAAAGCAAATGGGGTAAAATGTTAAAATCAGTGTTTTTGTAATATTTTATTGTTGCACTTTTTTTTGTAAATTTGAAATAATTTCCAAATAAAAAATTTAAAAACCACTTTTCAAATAGCAAAGTAGCCTAAAGATAAAATATTTCAGGCACTAACTACTCAGAAAATATTCCTAACAAGGCTGACCCTCAAAAGCTATTCTTCTGTTACCAAACCAGAGATCTATTCTTTTAAAAATACATATTTTGGGGGCACCTGGGTGGCTTAGTCGGTTAAGCGTCCGGCTTCAGCTCAGGTCATGATCTCACGGTTTGTGAGTTCGAGCCCCGCGTCGGGCTCTGTGCCAACAGCTCAGAGCCTGGAGCCTGCTTCAGATTCTGTGTCTCCCTCTCTCTCTGCCCCTCCCCTGCTCACACTCTTTGTCTCTCAATAATAATAAAATTTTTTTTTAAAATACATATTTTTCCACACTAAATAGCAGCATAAATATATCACATACCTGATAACTTTGCAGTCTTTACAAGTCAAATGAAGCTGAAATATATCTCGGCATTCAACACTTTCTATAAGCTGTAATGGAACCTGCAATTTAAAAATATGAATTCCCCTTAGTCAAGAAGGCATTGACCCTGTAGTTCCCTCAGTGGGTCGAACAAGAAAGATTCAAAAGCTCTACAGGGGAAGACAGCAAGCAGAACTGCAAATTTATCTGTCCCATTAGTATTCAAGTGATTTACTATGGAGTGAACTAGGGTTTCCCTTTCTTTTCCTCTAAATTAACAGGCTCAAGTCATGTCTGAGCATGAAGACAACGAATAAAGAGAAGGCACCATCTCTGGAAGAACAGGGAAATATGTCATCTCTCAAGCATCAAACTCACAATCTCTCCAAGTACTACTTTATACACTATAACTAGCTGTGATTTGCAATGGCAAAGAAGCTGACGGGAACCAGAATGGTAATCTTATTTACAGAAAAGAAGTGCAGATCAAGGTGACAATGGGACTATACTTACTGGCCCCAAATGACAAGTGGGCTTGTGGCTTTGTGTCAGCAAAGGAGCATCCTGAAAAAGACTGGAGATCTCAACTGCCTGCAAGCTGCACAGAAAAGATGTAGCTGCTTGTCAGGCTCTCTGATAAGCAGAAGAGACCCAAAGGTATCAAAGTGCAGGGAGCAGGCCACACAGTGGTCAAAGGTCCTAAAACCAGTGAGGTCTAATTTGCTTCAAAAGACCAGAGGAGCTGAGTGGGGTTTGAAGTATGAACAAGATGGAATGGTTCTCTCCCCTGACAATATGGTGAACAGACTCTACTGAACACAGAAGTACAATAGTGGAGAGGGATGGGAGAAGAGAGGCAGATAGAGAAAGCATTTGAACAAGGTGACAGATCCTCAAGTTGATGTAAGATTCCTCCCTCTTGCTCAATTCACCTTGACTCTACCCCTGGTTTCAAAAAACAATTTCCAAAACTTCTATATATAAATGCTGTTTTTTTTTTAAATGTTTATCCATTTATTTTGAGAGAGAGAGAGAGAGAGAGAGAGAGAGAGAGAGAGAGAGAGAGAGAGAGACTGACTCAAGTGGGGGAGGGGGGAGAGCATCTCAAGTAGGCTCCATGCCATCAGAACAGAGCCTGACGTGGGGCTCAATCACATGAACCAGGAGATCATGACCCAAGCTGAAATCAAGAGTCAGATGCTTGGGGAGCCTGGGTGGCTCAGTCGGTTAAGCATCTGACTTCAGTTCAGGTCATGATCTCACAGTTCATGAGTTCGACCCCCCAGGCTCTCTGCTGTCAGCATAGAGTCAGCTTCAGACCCTTGGTCTCCCTCTCTCTTCCCCTCCCTCCCTTGCCCACACGCCCTCTTTCTCACTCTTAAAAATAAACATTTAAAAAAATTTTTAAAAGAGAGAGAGAGAGAGTGAGTGAGTGTTGGACACTTAACCAACTGAGCCAACCAGGTGCCCCTCCAAAACTTCTAAAGAGAGCCTGGTAAAATAATTGTGGATACACTCATTCCTTGAAGAAGGTGTAGACCACTGTCTCTTACACTGTATCATGCCCAGCCAAAATGTAGCTCTGGGAATTGCAAGTAGCATTCCAACAATTCATGTGTAGCATGAAAAGAGGAGGGCACTCTCCTCCAATACAGAAACAAGAAAGTGATGCCTGCACAGGGTAGCCCTCATATTAGCTAAGCCAGTTTCAGAAACAGGCTTCCTGCAAACCCTGCCCCACCATGCAGTTGCCAGAATCAGCAACCTCTCAGGACGATGACGTCAGGATCAAAAAGAAGCCCAGTGCTGGATGTCTGAGACCAGAAACAGAAACTGGGGCAGGGATTAAAAAAGAGAAGAAAGCAAAATAATATTATACAGATAATGACTGGAAGTTTCTACCTCAGAACTAGAGCCTTCTTCCTTAGTTCTAAGTCTATAATCTACAAAATGTCCTTATACTTGTGATAGGACTGAGGGTAAGGGAAGAAATCTTGCTTCCTGTGTTCTGATAAAAAAAAAGAAGCTCTGGCCCTCTGTTTTTAAGTCCTTAACCACAAGGTGCTGCTACAGAAACAGCAGGTGATGCGGCTAAAAATTTTTTTAAGACGTGTACATCTCAGAAGGAAAAAACAACAATATATACCAATCAGCAGGGATAAACTATCAAGAATTGTGAAGAATAGTAGATTAAAAAGATAGAGAATGGAAGACAATGCTGATTTGTTTCCAGGCCAGTCCTTTGGCCTGTAAGAGACTCATATTGCTTTGTTGTTGTTTTTAAATGTACCCTCATTTCCCTTCTTCCTCCCTTCCCAAAAGTGGCTGCCAGAATGGCAATTAAGAATTCTAATTTCAATTTTCTAAAATTTTACCAACTAAAATTTTGTTTGCTTCCTAATTTCCTCGGACAAGTTTCCAAACTTCCTGTTTTCTGAACATCAGATGGTCACAACTTAGCAAGTCCCAGGCAGAGGGAATACAAAGAGCCTAGAGTGGAGTAAAAGTGAGCTTTAAAAATCCACTGATTTGGAGAGACAGATCTCTGAGCAGTCACCTGAATCCCAGGTCCCTCTCAATCACCTCTCCTTATAACCATAAAATCTGAAAACCAACTAATGCTATTAGCAGCTGCTGGAGGGACTGGACCAGCCTAAGCTACTGTGCTACAAAGAAGAGGTAAGCTTGACATCCCCTACTATTGTCTGAGACCCCAAGGGCCTGGGTCCAGACTTCCAGAATAATGAAATACCTCAGAGCATGTGAAATATTCACTACCTAAAATGCATTCGATATGCAAATTTTTACATTTTTCACATTGCAAATTTAAGGAAGAAGGGTATAAATACCAGACGCTAGTACGCAGATCTACCTGGCAAATCAACAGAAACAACCATGTGTACTCAAGTCATAGATATGGAAAACAGCAGATTTTAATGCTCATGCAGATTGTCACATGCAGGGAAGTTTAATATGCAGCAATAAGAGAGAAATACCTGATTTTACATCAAATGAACATCTCCCTTTTTTCTTCTCATTTCTACCCCAATCCCCATCAAGACTGCTTCCTCTTCTAAAAAGGTGGAAGAGGCCTTCTTTTCCTCTTCATACACCCAAACAAAACATATAAGGTCTCTACTTTTTTTAAAGGCCTACTCCATTGCTTTAGGTTTCTGAATTCTGATCTCAAAAACGATCTCTTACCATTTCTGTAACCAGAAACACCCAATGTTCAACCCCATCAGCAAACAATTACAGATTCTCATCAGTGCCACTGAATTCTATGTCACTGAATCTATGTCATTCAATTCTAGGCCATTTTACAGCCCAGGGAGGTTAAGCCTCTATACTAGAAGCTAGAGGCAAAGTCAGGACCAGAAAACCATGTCTGTCCTCTAGCGCAGGCTCCTTCCATTATAATGGTGCACCTTTCTGTCTTCCACTGAGATTGTCCCTCCTTTCTGTAGGAGTTCTACTTTAATATTTCTTTCAGAATTAAGTGGTCTTTCCATCAAAGACCTTTAAGAAGAAAACAGAATTTAAACCAAGATGATTTGGGGACAGTTCTATCCATGGAAGAGTAGGAAGAATCTAATTCAAATTCTCCCTAACCTACTGATTTCAGTGTTTTGTGGCAACTCATTTTCTTTTTGCTTCCTTCTCCTCTACCTTCTACGTGACAGGTAATTCTGTCTTCCTTTACAGTGCGTTTCCACTTATAAACTCCACCAAACTCATGCTCAAAACAAGACACCAAACACACTCAGTGCTGTTAATTCCTCAAAAGGCCAACAGTTACATCACAGACACCAAAATTCGTAAGAGCATCAATCCAAAAAAGCAGGAGAGCAGCAGTTAAAAATTTAATAAACATGCACAGTATTAAAGACCCACAGTACTGTCTCATTCCAGAGGGAATTTTATGTCATCATAACCTAGTATGTTTACTTCATTCTGGGTGTGTGTGCGCGCATGTGTGCGTGAATGCATGCACGTGTACATTATTTTTAAGCACCAGAATTTAAAACTGGGATAATTTCTACCTTTTACAAACAATGTACTGGGGCACCTGGGTGGCTCAGCAGGTTTAGGGTCCAACTTCAGCACAGGTCATGATTTCACAGTTCGTGAGTTTGAGCCCCACACAGGGCTTTGCACTGACAGCGTGGAACGTGCTTTGGATTCTCTGTCTCCCTCTCTCTCTGTTTCTCCCCAGCTCACACTCTCTCTCTCAAAAATAAACATTTTTAAAAAATAATAAAAGCATACTCTGTTTATAGAGTGAATGTACACTAATCCTGTACATACATTTGAAGTAAAAATGGCAGGAACAGAGATACCTGGGTGGCTCTGTTGGTTAACTCCTGATTTCATGATCTCACGGTTTGTGGGTTCGAGCCCCACGTCCGGCTCTGCACTGACAGTGCAGACCCTGTTTGGGATTCATTCTCTCTCTCTCTCTCTCTCTCTCTCTCTCTCTCTCTCCCTCCCTCTCCCTCTCCCTCTCCCTCTCTCCCTCCCTCCCTCTGCCCCACCCCTGCTCGCATTCTCAGTCTTCCTCTCAAAATAAAAATTAAAAAAAAAAAAAAGGCAATAACAGAGTGAAAATAATAAGTCAAAATCTAAAATCTGTAATAAACTGTGGAATATCTGGGCCCTAAATCTTCTATAAAAACCAGTCAGAAGAAGACTGTCACAAGTTAAAGACCAAACTCTTTACTGCTCACCTTTTATATTTACAATCTACTCTTCAGTACTGATTTAGAGATCTCTGCTGGCACACGAATGCTGCAACCAAGGTGCATTAACTGTTAAGAATAACTTCCTTTTGATGCTTGGGGAATAAAGATTTTTGCTGTACTAAAATGTGAAAAAATGTGAAAAAACGCTAAGGAAAGTGTTTGCAGCTGTTACAATTTCACATTTTTCCTAAGAAGCGTTAACAGACCAGGTGGAAACAGAAGTTTTAATGTCCTTTTTGAAAATTTTACAAATTATTCCTCATTGAAATTCAGTTTACATTTTTTGAAGGTCACAATCCCATCTGTTTATGTATAAACTGTGGGGCTTTATCCTCACTCTACAAATCGTTCTCATCACAGTGTGCCACTAGAACTTTGTCTAGTAAAAGTAGCGAAGGGACTCATGCAGAGAGGACAAATTTTGCTGCTTTGCAAGGTGAACACTGGACAGTCAAAACCAACTTGTTCCAAAGCACAGGTGCAAAAACCACCTAGGATTCCCATGCTACTTACTGGAATTTCAGAAGCAGCAGATTGAGAGGCAGTCTATTGAATTACACAACAAAAACTGTTTTAAACTTTCATGAATTCCACTTCAAAACTTACTTGTTTATAAATTAGCTGAGCAAAGAAATACACCTGTACATATGTAGAAATACAGTTTGGGAAAAGCACAGAATGGGAGCAATTCATATCTTAAAGGCAGCAATGAACTCTACTACAGAGGTTGTTTACCCGAGGACTTGGAAACCTGATACCCAGTGAATATGTATAAAGTAATGATGTTATGGCATCCAAATCTACAAAAAGGTTTTATTCAAAGTGCTGTGAAATTAATAGAGAATATATGATATCAGGTAGCTACTTAAAACTTGATGGTAAGTCCCTTTCTGAAGTGCTACATGTGTTATTTTAAAGGAATACAAAATGATGCAAACCAGGGCATGCCACAATATATACTGGCATATTGGGCTTTGACAGTTGAAGTTTGATTTAGATATAATAACCTCTTAAAGGGGGGGGTCTCTTGACCTCATTTATTTTATTGAAATACTTATCTGCTGAGAGAGGAAAGGAGAGAGGGAAAGGAGAAGGGGCAACATCACCAACTCTCTGGACTCCACCCAGGACCTAGTGCAGGAAGAGCCATGGTTTTCTGGAGTAACCACAGGTTTTAGGAAGCTTACTATTATGACGTGATTAATCTATTTGTATGGAGAAATCCTGGTCTCTCTCAATCTGAATGTTTAAAATCACTGCAATGCCAAAATACTTTTGCACCATTATTTCTCTGTGCAAAGCCACTGTCGGGATTTTTAATTGACATGCAGGCTCTATGCCTTAGAGGGTTATTATGCTGAGAAAACACTTTTAGGTGATGAAATGGGGCAAAAGTAAGAACAGTAAGTTTTCTTAAGCATTGTACCTCAATCACAATGGGGGACCAATGATTCCAGTAAAGAGCCTACTCATACAGCCACTGTTAGAGATGATGATGACACAGTCCTATTCACACAGAAATTGTTTTTAAATGAGCTTTAAACCCAAAAGGGGTTTAAAAATGGTCTAATATCCATTTCAAACCCATACTAACTTCACATCACTTAATATTCACTGAATACCATGGCACCAGGAAACATGCTAGATTCTTAATAACCAAAAAATTACAACACATTTCATAAATGTTGTAAAGGTGTGTTAGAGATACCAAAGCCAGAGGTGAAGGTAATAAACCATCAGGGAGGAAACTGAGAAAGGCTTCACAGAAATTACCACCTAAACTGGGTTTTGACAGATGAAGAGAAGCTCCCAAGCAGGAGAGAAGTGAGAGAACTCAGAGGTGTAAAGTGTGGTTGAATATTTCAAGGAGGGTGGTTTTACTAATAATGCAAAGGGAAGAAGAGGGAAAAGAAAGAAACAAAAGTTAGGCACCAAGGATCACACCACTTAGCCTGATACCATGCTAAATAATTTCATCTTAGAAAAAGTAAAACGCTGAAGGGCTTTCGGCTAGTAAATGACATGGTCAAATCTATACTTTCTATCCAACAGACCCTATTCCCAAATAGATCTACAAGTAGCTTCTGAAATACGTCGCTATAAACCAAGTTGAGAGATAGAAAACTATGGCCAAAAAAAAAAAAAAAAAAAAAAAAAAAAAAAACCCCGAAACCATATCCTCCCCACATGCAATTTAATTACAATTTCATTAATTCCAAACATATAAACAGAATTTAAACACAAAATTAAACTGGGCAGTTCTACTAATTATTACTGTCCTTACTTCCACAGTAGCTGGTGGGTAATTTCTGGTTGTTTGGATTTTATAGGAGTTTCCATCCAGTTCCCCCCATCATGGCCACCCAGTACCAAATGGACACTTCTGAATACAGTGCTACTGGGTATGAATGCACAGCATGCCTCTCTCCTTGATGAACCCAATGTGTATTCTGAGTTGATGGGACAGAAAACTAACATTAATAGCTATGATCGTAGTCCAAATCTAGATGCCAAGAGGAATTCAGGCCATAATGTCTTCGGGATATAAATGCTTAACTACAAAGAGTAATAAATACTACATAAATAATAAAAGCCAATTACAAACAAAATGGCAGCCATTCTACAAAGGAAAGAGTGTGTCAAAGAAGTCAGGGAACTTTTGGACCACTGAGTAAAATAAGTGACAGATTTCAAAGAATCCCAAAATGAACACCAAAACACACAATCTGAAAGTAAAGCCCTGAGCTCTTATAAAGTGTCGTAATACATTTCTCTGTGGTAGAACCAAACTGCAAAAAGAAAGCCACAATACTACCAAATGAAAAAGGAAGAAGGCATTCATTTGGTGGAAGTACATGAACTTTCGTATCTTTGTGGTGAAAGGCACATTCATTGAAAACTACTAATGATGGCAGTGCATTGAAGAACCAGATCAGAGAGTACCCTCATAACTGAAAAGGGTAAATGCACTCTTGAGATCTGAGAGCCTTCATTTTCTTCAGTAATATAGTCCATTATGCAAACAAACACTGTATTTAACATCTATGCTCTTCCACTAAGCAGCCATTAGAGTTAACTTCATCCTATAATGAGAGTCCACACTGAGCTCAAAATACATCTCATTATTTGACATTAAGGTCCTGGAAATTATCTCAACTCAGGCAATTGGTAACTACTAAAGACTGAAGAATAAAAACCTATTCAGCCTTTGAACCCTTATAAAGTTAATGATACACCGTTACCTAGTACAGATTGCTCAGTATTACTAAACAATGGACAATTCAGCTGACAACTACATGTAACATTTTAAATCAAGCCTAAGAGTTGCTTGTTAACCTAGTGTCCCTAAGTGCTAAATTCAGTAAGAGAAAAGCAGAGTAAACAATGTTTTCATACTCAACCCTGTGTAACATTTCTCTTTTTGAGAACATTAACAAGTTTTTATTCTTCCTTTCTCCATCTACTTTAGTGGGAAAATAGTAATCACTTACATTAACAAGAGACTCCTTGAACTTGATGTGAAGTCTATAATTAGAAAGGGCAATGATGGCATCCTCAGCACGGCCCACATACTCTGTGCTTTCTCCATGAAGTTCAAGAAAAGGAACCTTCAAAATGGAAGAAGAAACCTTTCAGAGTTCTAAAACAGTTAAAGCAAAATCTTCAAGCACGGGTTGAGTGAATGGATGATAAAACCCATCACTCAAACTTAAAATATGGTAAATAAATAAAGGACCTAAAGAGGATGAGTTATGTCCACATAATTCAAATATACTTGGTTATTCAAGTTCAACATTACTGAAGGAAATGACAGAGATGATCATGTCAAACAATGCATTCTCAGGAAATACATCTTTCTAAAAGGAGAGAGGTTTTCCAGCTTGCATTTCTACCTTGTGTATGGTTTAAGGAAAAACAAAATTATACAGTGCAGTACTTCAATTCATTAGCTCGGCTACATTGTTACTATGATGCTAGATACTTATTTTATAATCAAAGTGGCCTATAATTACCTGAAGATTCTCATCCTCCCGGATCAGCTGCTTCCTGGGAAAGATCTGATTGGCCTGGATGCACTCAAGGCTGTGCCGAGTCTCTTCATCCTGGAAAAACCCAAAACCTTTAAATAATTTCAGAGCTCCCAGTAATCATATTTGATTTTTCTGCCATGTCTAGTAGCATAATCACAATCAAAGTCCAGTGACCAAGGCGAACAGGAAGAAAGCTCAAAGAAAAAGCATTCATCCCCAAAGTGTTCCAACCAATTTATTAGGCATCTCTAGTCAGAGAATATACTATAGATGGGAAAAAAAAAAAAAAGCCTAAGAGGTTAAGAACATTTTTACTAAGCACTATTAAGTTGTTAGTACATTACATGTAAGAAACCAAGATAGTTTCTTCTCTTTAGGTTATAACGTTAAATTCTTATTTTTGAAAGCTACATCCTGAATTGCTTAAGAATGAAATAATGTAATGTCTAGAAATTGGTTCAAAATAATTGGGAGAGGGAGAGGAAGGAAGTGGCCTATAATTAGGAAGGAAGTGAGTGGGAATTAACTGAAACGGGATTGTCCATGAGGGTTAACTGATGAAACTTGGGTAAAGCAGGGGTTCACACTAAACCAACATGTCTCCTTTGTTAGATGTGAAATTTCCATAATGGAAATGTTTCTTTAAAAATTTAAGTTTAGGAACTGAATTCTTCAAACTGAAAACATGTGTGAACCACTATCCCTAGCTTAATCTGCCTTATATTACAAAAAAGATTTATTTCTATTAATACAATTTCCAAAAAAACCAATAATTTCTAATCTCAGTGGCACTTGAACTAATCACAATTTCAAAAATAGTCTTGGGGCGCCTGGGTGGCGCAGTCGGTTAAGCGTCCGACTTCAGCCAGGTCACGATCTTGCGGTCCGTGAGTTCGAGCCCCGCGTCGGGCTCTGGGCTGATGGCTCGGAGCCTGGAGCCTGTTTCCGATTCTGTGTCTCCCTCTCTCTCTGCCCCTCCCCCATTCATGCTCTGTCTCTCTCTGTCCCAAAAATAAATAAAAAACGTTGAAAAAAAAATAGTCTTATATCTTGAATTTTTATAGTTTAGGAAAAAGAGAAACAAGCCATTAGAAAGTCTGACTACAAATTATTTTTTAGGTGTTTATTTTTAATTTTTTAAATTTACATCCAAGTTAGTTAGCTTATAGTGCAACAATGATTTCAGGAGTAGATTCCTTATGCCCCTTACCCATTTAGCCCATCCCCCCTCCCACAACCCCTCCAGGAACCCTCTATTTGTTCTCCATATTTAAGAGTCTCTTATGTTTTGTACCCCTCCCTTTCCTTGTGTTCATCTGTTTTCTACCTTAAATTTCTCATGAGTGAAGTCATGTGATATTTG